ATATAGCAATACTTATTATTTAAGATATTGATGATACTAATATAGAATTAATTAAACCTCAAAATACAAATGAAGAATAGAATGTAAGTAATGATAAAGAAATAATCAAATTAATTATTATAATAAAAATAAAATCAATCCTATTAGAAATAAATATGAAATATTTTAAAATATAATTATTAATGAATAGATTAAAGCTACATAAAAAATCAATTTGAGATATTATATTAATAGATAATAAATGGAAAGTGATTTTAAAGTTAGTAATAGAGAGATTTATCTTATTAATGATTAATAAATAAATAGAATTTAGGATTTTTATTTATTTTGTTTATTATAAATTTAGAATCTCTAATATATTTAAATACAAATTTTGATTTTTCTTTACAATTTGATTAAAATATATTAGTTTATTATTATAATAAATAATTTACGATAATAAATTGAAAATAGAAATTTTTAAAAAAAAAAATTTTGATTGGTTATTTATTATTAATCATATTATTTTGATTATAAAATCATATATTTTTAATTTATAATCATATAATTAGTTATTGATTATATAAGTCATATAAGTCATAAAAGATTATATAATAATACTGAATATTATTAAAATACAAATAAACTATTATAAAGATATTTATTATAATATTTGTTTCAAAAAGTTCAAAAATCTAAAAAATAAAAAAAAATAGGATTATATAATACTATTATATATCATATACTCACTAAAAATATAAGCTATTTTTCATTTATCTAGTAGAAGTTCAAAATTATAAATATATAATTCAGTTAGTTCAATGTTAATAAACAAATTCTTTTTAGACTGCTATTAACAAAAAAAAATAAAAAAAACTTTAGCAATGTTTTTTAAAAAAAATAATAAACAAATTTCTTAAATTTACTAAGACTAAGGTTACTATCCTAAACTATTAAAAATTAGTTTCATTTAAACAAACTAGTTTCAGTAGTTTTAGCTATTATAACTAAACTAGTTTTAATAAGTTTAAATTATAAAATTTTAGTTTCAAACAGCAATGCTACTAAAAATATAAATAGTTTAAGTTTTTCTTAAGTCTATTTTCTAAAAAATAAAAATAAAAGAAATATTACTAATATTTTTTAAAAAATATATTAAATAAAACTTTTTTTCAAATCTTATCATCTTTATTAACTTTATTAAAGTTTATTTTATCAAAAAACTATCCTTATGAATAAAAAAGAAAAATAAACATGTTTAAAAAAGTTTAAATAAAATTTAAATATACAAGGTAAGTAAAGAAATAAAAAAAATAAAATAATAAAAGTATTTTTATTTTAAATTTTTAAAAGAGTTTATAATATATGATTCTTTTAAAATTATTAAAAGAAAGTATGTTTTTTTTTAATATTAAGTCTAAAAAAGAAATTAACTGAAAAAATTTTTTATAATAAAAAAAAGACTATTCTAATTTGAGTAATTGATTAATTTTTTATATTGCAATAAATTTATAAGCTAATTAAATTGCTAATAAATAAGAAAATTAATATATTTATTATATTACTTTAATAAAAAAAATTTAATATCAAATATTATATTAATTAGCATTTAATGATTAATATATTGTTCAATATAATAATATTATATAAAATTTTATAATTTTTTCAGTACAATATTTAATGTTTTAATAATAATAGTTATTGTTAAGTTTAATATACAGTTGTATCTTTATATAGTCACCTCCTTCTATAAGCACATCATCTATATAGTCACATATTTAAAATTTTTGATAGGTTTAAATTATAAAAAAATTCCTTCCTATAATCATAATTATAGTAATACCTTTTTATAAACACATTTTATTTTAAAAGTTACTATGTATATGACTATGTAACTATAAAGAGATATGATTATACTAAAATTTACAGTTTTTTTCAGCATTAACACTGACCGAAATCAAAGAAATTACCATTTGCTATTCATTAGCAATTTGGACTAAATTTAGAAATCAGTCAAAAATCAGCTAGTATATTTATGACTGATTTATGATAAATTAGAGTTGAGCCAATAAATAAACTCTGATTAATTCAATAGGATAATGTAAAAATTGTCTGATTGAAAAAATTATCCTAAAGATATGATAGTAAATAATCATTCTAATAGAACGATACAATTATTATCCTAAAAAGATGATTCAACATTATTCCAATCAGATAATGCAAATTTGATAGAAACAATTAAAAAATTATTCCAAAAGGATGAAGATTATCATTCTTAAAAATTGTTCTAAATGGATAATATATTATCATCCTTATTGAATGATTTGAAAATTTGTTCTTTTAAGACAATAAATCATTGTTTCCTAAGGAATGATACAAATCATTTGGGTAATATTCTATTAAAATTGAAGTACAGATCATATGATTTACTATGTTTTGTAACCCACTTTTAATAGATCAGCTCCTATTTAATAGAAATGATGTTTCGAATTAATCGAAAACTTTCAGATTAATCTGAAAATTTTTTCCTTTTTTTAACCTTTTTTCTTTATTTATTTTTATTTTGAAGATTTTTATCATTTTTTTTAAGAAAATTCTTATTTTAAAAATATGATAAATCATTCTTTGGATGAAAATTTACTATTTTCCTTATTTTTTTCTTGTTTTTTTTTTTTGGAAAATTATCATTTTAAAAATAAAATAAGTAAATCAAAAGTAAATTTTTGGGTGGATTTTTCTTTTTTTTTTTTTTTTTTTTCTTTTTTAGAAAAATTATCATTTTAGAATTAAGATAAGCAAATTGTTGGTAATTGTTTGAATGAAAATTTGTTATTTTCCTTTTCTTTTTTCTTATTATTTTAAAAATAAATTATGATAAATCAATTAAAGATAGAATTTTTGACTTATTTTACTTTATTTTTTATATATATTGTAAAGCGTTTCTTTTTAAAAAATTTGAATTTCATAATTATGTAAAAAAATAAAAATTTAAATTTAAAAAATTGAAATAAATTTAAATTTGTTATATTAGTTCTGATTTGCAGTTTTTAGGTTAATTTTTAGTAAATTGTGTTCAATTTGTATTGATTTATGGTTGATTTGTAGTTAAATTGTAGTTAATTTTAAGTGGTTGAATTAGGTTAATTGTTGGCCAAATTTTATTTAAATTATGGCTGAATTTTAGATTAATTTTAGGTTTAATTTTTAGATTAAATTATATTTGAATTTTTATGTCTGAATTGATCCTATTAGCATTGAATTATGCTAATAGAAATTGATTTATTACAATTTAACTATAATTTAGACACAATTCAACCTAAATTTAGACATAATTTATATATCTGATTTTTGGTCAAATTGTATTATTTTAATTAGTATAAATTATGTTTTTTAATTTTATTAATATACTAATATTAATAATTATAACTTTTATACAAATAACATTTGTAAGAAAGAATTAGAAAAATTAAATAAATATTTCAGAAATAAGTAAAAATATTATCATTATTAATATTACTTTTTTAAACATATTACAATTATTATATATTAAATTAATTATCAAAAATTAAAAGTTGTTAATATCTAAAACATAATATTTATGAAATAATATCAATAAGTTTAATTAAAATTCCAAAAATATTTATTGAATTATTAGAATTAAATAAAAAATGCAATAATTTGTAATATATTATGACTTCCAAAAGAAATGCAAGTAGAGTTTCTTGCCTTTAAAAGCTTATAACTAACTAATCATGAATTCTAGAATATAGGTTTGTATTTATTATAAACCTCAAAACCTAGCTAATATTCAGTAAAAATTTAAAGTGCAATTATTAAGACCAATTTTGCGTAATTTAGCGATCTACATCAAAAATTCTTACTTAATGAAATTTAAGTGTAGATAAAAACCCTCAGTAGGCTTACTACTCAAAAATTGATACTGGATTTTAATTCTCCTCATGCAACGATTCTAATAAGCTAAAATTCGTCCAAATCAGATCAGTAGATTAGCAAAAAAATCAATAAAGAAGATCATTGCGTATCATATAAAAGAGCCTAACCATATTTTTTATATAAAGAAACTCTTTTTCTCTCTCTCCCAAAAATTTTTGGAAACAAAAAGTTTTTTTAGAAAATAAAATTGTCTCATCCTATTTACTGTAATAAGTTCAACTCTGTTAGTTAGTTTATTTCTTTATATTTACAACATTTTTATTTTCAAAAGAGTTTTACATAAAATTTTAAATCACTAAAACGTGTAACAAATGTACTAAAAAACAAACTGTCTCAAAAAATAAGTTCTGTTTTGACCCTCTAGAAAAACAACTAGAACCTGTAGCCTCTTTTTTAGTGTGTGCTTTAAACAACAGTTCTTTATCTGACAAGGATATTATTAAAGATACATTTTAACCTAAGAATAATATACACCACCTAATGTTTTGGATAAGAACGAATATATTCCTATTGAAAATAACGATAATATGAATATTGAAAACCTCAATTTCATCATCATTTCTCACTCAACTCCTTTTGCCTGTGCAATTACTATCAAAAAATTCGCTTGTGAACTTCCTACTGCAGCTATTATTAAAATTATTAATAGCCTTTTCACTCAAAATAACATGTTTAAGAAGGCAAACGTTTGACATGTCAATTTTGTCAGATTATTACATCAGGAAGTTTTAAACAGGCATATAATGTATCAATATATATTATGTATCGATCAACACCAAAAAGTATTGATATACAAACCTTATGTTAATCAATAACGTTTAAAAGGACGTTTATCAATACATTTTAGGTATAAAACAACATATAGTAAAATAACAGTATCACATGATAGTGTTGAAAAACGAGTATAATAGTGTTGATTAATATAATGTTTGACGCAAAAATACAATAGCAATCACTATAAGTTATGGTAATTTTATTATAAATTTCTATGCTAAAATGTATATATATCTAATATATTATAAAATAAAGTTAATTGATTAATTTATAATTAAAGGTGTTAAACACATTTAAACTTTCATAAAATTCGCATCATTGTCTAAGCTTTGATAAAAATTGTACAACTCTTTATCAGTGAAAGCATGTTCACTGTATTGCAGGCTGTCCTGCATTTCTTTTTTCTCCTCATACTGCTCATCTTCATCATCCTAATTAAAGGTAAAGAAAGTATTTAATAACATTATAAAGAAATAAAGTTTATAAAGCAACAATGTTTATGATGTTACCTGTTCATTACGTTTAATAACATTCTTTCACAACTTAATCACATCAGTATCAATTTTTGTCGAGAGATAGTCAACATCGAAAATTGTTTCAAGTACTGATTGAGTTCAAATAGCATTTTTCGTGTTAGTTTCTTATCAGATGCAAAAACAGACTTGATAATCAATGTGACATATGTGACATATGTGTGCGATAATAGGTCATTTGGATCATTTTGGCAATATAGATCATCATATACTGCTTTTAATTCTTTACTTGTCTTCCATCTTTTATTTGCTCCTTAGACCAATTGTCTTCATAAGGCTTAATTCTGTTAAACCCGAAGATAGACCATAGGCTTTCTTTTACATAGCGAATATAATACCCCTTTTTGATACGATTCGCCTTAAGCAACTAGTTTAGTTCATTTAAATAAATTATTAGTTAATAAATAGCATAGAATATGACAACTAAAAATATAAATAAAAATATTAACGGCTGAATATAGCTTTTCATTCCATAGATCGTTGTAACTAATGTTGTTGTCTTTCAGCTTTTGAAGCTGATTTGTATAATATTCATCACTGTCTAATTTTGCCTTTAAGTGTGCTTTGAGTTTATTGTCTGTTAGTTACTTATATTCGTGAAATAACTTGTAAGACAATTTTCGAATCACTTCCTGTAATATAAATTAAATTGATAATTAAAATCAAGATAGAATAAACAAATAAATAATAATAAAACACACATATGTTTACTTGATAAAATTCGATTCTATTTTTCTTTCCTTTATCTTTACCCTCCTTTTTGCTAATTCCGATCTCTGTATTGAATTTCTGCTCCTCAAATTTTGATAAAATTTCATCAATTTTATTTTTTTGCTTAATAATAATCATCTCAAACTCATCTTGCCTTTTTAAAATTTGATCGAGCTTAATGTTGTTCTTTTGGTAGAGCAATAACACCTTATCCAAAACATGCGAATCAATAGTAGCTAATTATGATAAATATATACATATTAATAATATCATGAAATAAATATGTTTATAACGTATAATATAAACTCGAACCTTCAGCAGTTTTTTTGCTTTACGTGGGTTGATGCAACGATGATAACAATAAAATATCAGTTGATTGTATTTCCGTTCTTGATGAAGTTGACAAGGTGTTAGCCAATAATGTTTTCATTGGCTAATATAAAAATATGATAAATATATTAAAATTCAATATAATATAAAGGTATCAAATAAAATAATAAAAACTTACTATTAATTGAGAAAGCGTGATTTTTTTAGGAATGGAGGTAGTGGTGTTAGGCTTGGTGATTTTTTAAGGGTAGAGGTAGTGATGTTGGACTTGGTGTTGAGCTTGGTGTTGGGTTTCTTGATAATGACGGTGGAGATGGTGGTGAGTTTAACGGGTGTGAAGATAGTGGTGGTATCATCGATAGCAACAGGCATCAATTTATTATTGGAAAACAAATTGATATTTTTGATATGGGTTTTTTTTTGGTAGAACTACTCCTGTATTATCTTCAGATACTTTATTATTATTGTAACTATAGATTAGTGTGTTTGTTAAGATTTAATAAAATAAGTAAAATTATTTTATACCATTTCTTGATATCTAGAAAATTATAATATATATAGATGTAAGTAAATTTAAATAAACATATATAAAATAAATAACGAATATAATTACATCTTCATTCAAACATTTTGATCTTCTAACTTGTGGACGTTTTAAAGAAGATGCATCAATATTAAATCTGTCTTAATTGTCATTCATTTTTGGATTATTACTTGAAAGTTAAAATTTGTATTTTTTTAGTAAAGGATGATATGTAGAATAAGCTATTTGTTCTCATTTTTTGTTTTCTTTTATTAATTTTAAAAATGTAATACATCACATCAAGCATCAATAAATATATCATCATACTTTTATAGAAATTGCATTGATAAATGTATAACTTATATCATCATTGATAAACGCTTGAATTTGGTCCTGAATTTAGTTCATATCATGCTGCCATAGAAGTCAGAAACTACATTAATAAATGCGAAATTAGAAAATTATGCGAAAGTAAAAAATTGTATTAATAAACATATTAATTTATTTATCTTACTACCGTAAAAATCTTCATGTTATATTAAATATGATCATTTTTATAATAATTGTTAATGGTTTAACAATGATCATTGTTTATTTGACGTCACTTTCATTATTATTACTTGATGCAGCTAATTGAATTAAAAAATTTTTTTAAAAATTTGTTCATTCTTAACAAAATTGCAACACACATGTCTACAATGTGAAAGAACTTTCTCTCATTATTCTTCTTTAAAAAATCAATAAAAATCCATGATAGTGCGATTGATAGAATTTTAGACAAAATCGTTGAAGAAGAGATACAAATTAATCTAATAGAAAATGATGATGTGATAAACTACAAAGATCTAAATGTTGAAGAAAAAGAAGAAGAGGAGAAAGAAGAAGAGTTGGTTAATCCTGATGAAGATTTGATTAATATTGAAGAAGAGTTTGAAGATGATGTAGAAGAATATGTAGAAGATGAGTTGGTTAGCCACTATGAAGACATTGAAGAAGAAGAAGAGGAAGAGGAAGAAAAAGGGGAAAATGATTTGATTGATGATTTTCAAGTAAGTTTCTAGTATAAAAAGTTTGATGCATGCATAACGTCATTTATAGTTAATACAGAAAGTTTGATGATTAACGTCATTATTTAAACTAACAGTTAATATTTAATTTACTGTATTAATATAAAAAGCATATATTAATTAATGTTGAATATACATCAGTCTTTGAGTCTCTCCATATTAATAGTTCAATAACAAATAGGCCCAAGTTACCAAGTGAAGAGTTTGGGGATTTTATGGAATTGCTTACAAAGTGAAACTTATCTGATGCATGCGGTAGAGATATACTTAAATTTTCACGTAAAATTTGCCATGATGATGTAAGATTACCAACTTCTGTAAAGCAAGGCCATTGATTAATAGATCAAATAAAATGTACTGCATATATCCTTTAAAAAAATACCCATTATGACATATGAGGAAACAACATATTACCTTCATTATTGTCAAATATTCGATGCTGTAAAGGAACTGTTAAGTAACCAGGAAATATATAAACAATTGTACCTTTAAATTTATGCCATTATTCTATAATAGGCAGAGAGTTTACCATAAGCAATATAATTGAAAATAGTGGGAAAGAGTACAAGCGTCGATTCCTAAAGGAGCAAAGGTTTTGTCTATCATCCTATATTCTGATGTGACAACTTGTGACCATTTGAACAAGTCTAGTGAGCATCCAATTTTTTTGACGTTAGGCAATATAATTAGTTGGCGTAGAAATAAACCTGATGCAAAAGTTCTATTGAGTTATCTTCCAATTTTGAAGGCAAATTCTATCTCTCAATAAAGATCTAAAGGCTTTAAATTGGCAAAGCATACTCTTTACCAATATGCCTTAGATCTATTAATACGTCCATTGCTTGATTATAAAAACAATAGATTTGATCTGTTATCCGTTTATTTCTGTGATGCTAGGAGATCTTTCAGAAAATGCTGCGGTGACTTTAACATTTAACTCTGTTAATTGTAAACACCTGTATCACAAGTGTTTAGTAGAAGGTGATAACTTAAATAATGTAGAGTTATCAAACGACCAAATTATTTTGAGGATACCGGATACTATGAAAGTTTTTGTTAAATAAGGTATTGCATAGCAGTATTCTTTGCATAATGTGGAGAATATTTGTTGGAAATACCCATAAGTATAACTGTATAAATTAGATTGCATTAAATTATACGTCAAGTTGCACAGTACATTTAAACATATTATTTTTTACACTTAGACAATTAAATATTTACGTAGCAACGATTCCTGACCGTATGTATCACCTTGACTTAGGATTGTTCAATTACAAAGTGACCTATACTAGAGAACTACTAAAAGAATTATATGATCAAATAATGGCCGATGAACTTGACAACCAACTAGCTAGAATTCCAAGATTTCCTGATCTCAAAATATTCAAAAATGGCCTTGAAAACATCAAGCAGTTTACAGCTGATGAGTTCCGTAATATTATAAAGGTGTTTATTTTCGTCATTGAAGGGATAATCATAAAACATCACAAAGAAACAATAACTGCAAATTGTGCTAAACGAACAGATGAAGCATTAGTTGATGTATATTATCATTGGAATAAAATGTATTTATATAGCCGTCAAGAGTATTTTTTAGAATCAGAACTGAATAATTTTAAGGTATTATGATTAGCATTTATGTTTTATGTATCATATATTCATGATTAACGCCTTTATTTTATTATAGAATCTAGTTACAAATTGGGCAATATTATTTGTAAAGCTCTTTCAAAAATATTCACCATCAAAACTCAAATTGCCAAAGTTACATAATTATTGCTACTATATTATTTCATCAATTGAAGATTATGATGCTATTAACAGGTTTACAATAGAGACATATGAAACTTTACATAAAGATGCTGTTAAAAAACCTATCGAGCTAGTAATAAACGCCAACCAACAGATCAAATGATTAAAACAGTTAGTTTATACATACAAAACAAAATGACATTATTTTATATGTAGGTTTACTGAAGCGTAACTTTAAAATATATACGTCAACATACAATTATCAAGAGATATCAACAAAAAACTCTGATGAATAGCTTGCTAGGCTCTTTTTATTTAAAAGATTTTTATATGTTCTTTGATAATTACAAATCTAAAAATAATTTGGCTAATGAAGCTTTAGTAGCCTTGAAACATTTTATTTCAACATTAAATGAATTTTTAGATTTATGTGATAATTTATCTGAAGAAATGGTTAAAGAAGCCAAAATTGGATGGTATAGTTATGCTAATATTTCTTCAAGTGGTAATTGTGTCAGAGCGAATAGTATGTATTATAATGAGTCATCATTTAGTAACGTATTGATTAACATGAGTGAGGAAGAATCTGAAAACTATAATACATATGAAGATGCTTGTTTTGGCAAGGTATTTATTCTATCAATAAACTGACATTTTCTATGATTAATAATTGACGAATAATTTATATTGTATAGGTTCTTATGTTGATTAATATTATAATCGAAAGTTATTCATTTTTTGACTTTGCTCTTGTACAATAGTATGATTTTCACTATAAAAATGATAAATATCATTTATATAAATACGATTGTCCTTTATTACAAATTACAAATATGTACAATATTGTATCTATAGAGTCAATTACAAGTAATTCAATGGTTTGAACGACAAAATGAATATTTTGTTAATATATATATGTTTTAATTTAACAATTTAGCTTCAATAAAAATGACTTAAAATTGTCAGTCAAAAAAAATATTATTAAAATATACCGTTAATATACAGCATCGTTCAATGGCATAGAATATATTAAACAACACATTGTGTTAAAAAACGTGTATGTTATCAGGTATATGTTGATAAACTCTAATAGACGGTATTTTTCAATGATATATATCATATTGATCATTGGATTGGTGTTGATCAACACATATATTGATGCAAATTAATACCTCTGAAACTTCCTGATGTAATCATCTATTTTGATAATCAGGTTACTCTAACTTCAGCCCTTAATATAAAATTTCCCGATTTAGGAATCGACTAGCTTAATAATTATCAATCCTATAAAGAAAACATGCAATTTCAACAGCGCATCCTGTACATTACTGATATTCATCTAAATGTGAAAAAGGTTCTCATATCAATTTTCACCAAATATGATAACATAATTAATGTTAGATTGCAAACTCATAAACTTTGGTAACACACTTACATTACTTACAATAATCACAAGCTATTCAATTATTTATACCCAATGGTCATATTACCTTTATAATGACTGCATAAGAGTTTATTCTGCAGATGTTTCTCCTGAGCAAGTCAAACAAAGGAATGATATTTGTATCAAATTAACCAATTTTCCTTTCAGAACAACTCACATGACTTACAAGATATTGTTCTTATTACTAAAGCAAAAGTTTATTATATATTACGTTCTAACTATTACAAGCCACGATCCTTTGTGATTCTTTATTTAAATTTGATTATGCTTTTGAAGGTAATAACTTACAATAGTGTCCTGCTGAATTAAAATGTTATTATAAGTGTGGCTCACCTGACCATATTGTTATGAAATGCTCACAACTTTCTACCCCATTTTAAAATAAACCAACTGAAATTAAAAGACAATGCTTACATCTACCTTCAGTTCAAAGCTTTACATTAAATTTAAATCTGCTGGTTCACGTACTTTAATTCTAAAAATAATAATGATAACAAGAATCAAAGACTTTCATCACACAATCCAAACTTTAATTACTCAGATACTCTCTCTGATAATAATAAAGGTAAAAACAAAGATACTGGCCCTAACCTAAAAACTGTTAATCATTCTATTCACAATTCTAATATCACTAATGATACTAATAGAAAGCTTGATCAAATTCTCAACATGCTTTTCAACATGAAAAAAGCCATATCTGACCTTAAAGTTTGAATTATCAAATTAGAATGTTTACAGTTAGTCTCATCTTTATCAAAACTCTTTATTTCTATCACTTCATCACCTGTCACTCTAATTGTTCCTTTATCAAGTTCTTTTTCTTATGGCAACAAGCGTTCTTGTATGAATGACTCTTTCTCAGATGAGAACACTCACTCTGGCCCTAATCCTATCAATCTAAAACTACAGAATACTATTGAAAAATAAAATTCAATTATTAAGGCCCAGCAAGAATAAATAAATGTCATGATGGCTCAACTTCAATCTCTTACTGAGAAACTATCCCAATAATTACCACCCTTTCCTTTAACTTTTCTAATGATTAATAATCATAATAATATTACTTCTTCACATAATTTTGATACCTATACCAATGACAATATTAACACAAATAGATCATTCACTATCTCTTTTGTTACCCATAATGTTCACTCCTTACAATATGACTTGAAAAATAAATTAATCAAAGATACTTTCCTAGACTTCAATATGGATTTTATCAGTCTTATTGAAACTTGTTACAAAGCAAATCAAACTTACAAAAATAAGTTCAATCACAATTTTTCTTCTTTTTGGAGTTCTACTATTAATACCCATGCTAGCATTGAGCTTCTTATAAAGCATTTATAGACAAACTACATGCAAAAAAAACCTTTTTAGATAGCGATTGCTTTATTTATGTTGATCTATATCTTGCTAGATATATCAAATTGAAAGTTTTTTAATTTATTTACATGTTAAGTATAGCTCTTCAACAAAGATTGAATGTCTCAAACTATATATAACAATTCTTGATTATATTAAGGAAGGTCTGAAATTAGATTTCAAAATCATTCTTTTAGGAGATTTTAATGCAAACCTTGACAAATATTGGTCTTATATTAATGAAAGTCAAACTTTACATTGGAGATATAATATTTATCAGAAAATATTTGCTCTCAATTTTTTAGATTTATATGATATTTATCATAATACACCCAACCCACTTTTTTTTCAAGACAAATAAATACATGCATTGATTCCATATTTGCTTCTTCAAATCTAATTTCAGAATTCCTTTACTTATATATTGATACTA